ATAAAGCTTAACTTTTGAAACGTTGATTCTTCAGTACAATTATATATAAATTATAAGAAACGATGAGAAGACAAAGTTCCAGATTTAGCCAAGGATTTGAGTTCAGGCAAAGTGGAATATTAGGTTTATGGGGAAAATGGAGGTTGAATCATCCATGGGCAAGTTGTGTTTACAGGGGTAATACTGCAGCTGAGTGGAAATATTCTGTGGTAACCAGAAAAGGAGAACTGAAGCAAGATTAGGACTAGAAATATGAATTTGGGTATCATCTGCATAGCAATAACAAGATTCCTTAAGTGCATAAAAGAAAATGAAGACTATTGGGACTAGAAGGAAAAAGTTAAAGAATTAATAAAAGAAACAGAAATGGCAAAAGAGATATTAAAAATCCAAGAAGGTGTTGTATCATAGGAGTTAAATAAAGGATAGATCCACAGCATCAAGTACTACCCAGAAAGCAAATAGGATGAGGGCTGTAGAAAGAATATTGGGTCTGTCAAGTGGTCACTGTAGACCCTTGCGACTGGGTAGCAAAAGGTGTTGATGACCAAGTCAGATTTCAGAGGCTCAAGCAGTAATGATAGATTGGAAACAGATAAATAGCATAGTAACAAAAATGTGTAAGGATGTCTGGAAAACTTAGTTTTTCAATTGAAAACTTGCTTCCAGTTGACAATAATAGGGCAGATATTGATGAGGCAGATTTAAGAAGCATCAGGTGTCGACAGCCTGGTGGCTCCTGTCAAGTTTCTTTTTCTCTAAACTCATCAGTCTCCTGTTCTCAGTATCAGTGTTGATTTTGTCAGTCCCCTGATGAAAGACCTCTCTGGGTTCCTCATTGCCAGTGGAAATGCAATATCCTTAGCAGAGCTCATGAGGTGCCTCATCCTTTGGTTCTAACCTCCCTTTTCCATTTCATCTTTTGCTACTCAAGACACAGATTTCAGATTCTTTCCAGACTGGGTCTTTGTACACCTTGATCTTTCTGCCTGGAAGATCCTTCTTCCCATCTTTCACATGGAAAATTCTGACTCATCCTTCAATACCTGGCTCAAGTGTCACCTCATTTTTGAACCCTTTGTGACTCCCCAGGCCCTGTGCAGGTCTCCCTCTTTGGTGCTTCAGCTGGAAGTTATTCATTCATATTTTTGTCTCAGCATCCTGCACTGTAATTCATAAATTTCCGTAACTGTGTTCTCCATTAGACAATGTGGTCTCTGAATACAATGACTTTCTTTTTTATTGTTGTAATCCCCATGACTGGCATACAACAAACTCTTGTTAAAAGCACAGGGATGAATGAGTATTCATGTAAAGAGATTTGCCTTGAGGTATATTGGATGAAAGTGAAGAAGCATCTTAGTGCTAAGTGAAATAAGCCAGACATAGGAATACAGATACTGTGTGATCTCACTTATGTGTGGAATCTAAAAAAAGTTGAACCCATAGAACTGGAGTGTAGAATGCTGGTTGCCAGGGGATATGGTGTGGGAGAAATGAGGAGATACTGGTCAAAGGGAATAAACTGTCAGCTAAAAGATGAAAAATTATGAGCTCTAATGTACAATATGGTAGTTATAGGTAATAATACTATATCAAATACTCAAAACAAGTGTTCTAACCACATACACAGAAATGATAACTGTGAGGTGATAGAGCCATTGATTGACTTGATTTTGGTAATCATTTCATAATGCATATGTATTTTAAAATCATCACATTGTTCTCCTTAAAAAATTCTATTATACAAACTAAATATATGTGATTTTTATTTGTTAGTTATATCTCAAAAACATTGGGGGGGGAAGCTATATGAATTTGAGCAGGTTAATTTTTCTGAATCTGAGTTTCCTTTTGATCAAAGGAGAATAATACTTACCTTATAATGTGCTTGTGAAGATAAAATCTATAAGATATAGATCAAACCATTAATGACCAGCATTTATTAATAGTTTCCTTAATGATTAATAATTAAAACTTTATTAATTAATGAAATAATCACCATTTATTATAACAATTATTAATAATTATGTATTGATTATTTCAAAATCTTACCTTCATGGCATGGATCTCTTACTGGTTACTCTGTGGTCTTGAATTTGGCTGCAACTTTAGTCTAGTCTCTAAAGAGAATTCAGGTTGTTTTATAGGTTAAATTTTGATGTTAAGAAATTTAAACTCAAGTCTTCCTAAATGGTGTAATCTGATTAACAGTAACCATTTGCCATCAAGTGAATTCAACAGAAATGTAGGATTAAATATATGGGTTGGTTTATTAAGTTCACAATTAAGTCTGAATTGTTTTATGAGTTCCCAGAGGAGGCCCCTAGCTTCGGGGCCAGATCCAAGGACACCCTTCTTGTCTTAGCTCAGGATTGTGTTGCCCTGAGTGACTTAAATCAGCTCTTTCCATTTTTTTTTAGCAAAATTTTTGTGGTTCATAAAAACATATGCTTACAGGTTTTTTTTTTTTCTTTTTGCATAGATAAAGGAAAGGATACTACATCAGATTTAGATCAAGAGATAGATTTTCAGAAGAAAATGATGGGTATGTCCTCTGGGAGTAGTGGAATGCAGTGATGTTTGGTCTCTGACTGATTGAGTTTAAGGCATTTGTGAACACGTCCACGCCCACACCCACACAAATACACAAACAGTGGTCACACTTCAGCTCCAGACACTGCATTTCTCTCCAGTCTCACATCCAGAGTGCATCCGATGTTTTCCATAAAGTGAAATAAATCCCTCTCTTTTGCTCAGTGGTGAAAAGCTTATATAAATACTAAAACTTCAAATATTCCCCTGAGTTTTTGTTGGCAAGTCTGCAGCTATGGGTTTGTTTAGATATTGACATGCATTTTCTGTGCATATCTTTCAGGCCACTTGGGTGAGCTCAGTGGTGATAAATTCATTTGTCTTGAAAATGTACCCTACTAACTATTATAACACTCTGTTTATTAACACTTAAATAATTGATACCCTGATTGGAAAGGTTCCAGGTTCAAAATACCACTTCTGTTCTTTCAACATATATCATTTTGGTGATATCTATCTATCTATATATCTTAGGAAATCATGGCCAGGATATGACTTTAATAGTCATTGAGCAGAAAACATGGGTGTGAAGAATCCTCTAATTCAAGACATTTAATCTTGGGTTGTGGTGTTCCCATGACAGAATATCTTTCAGTACTTAAAAGTGAGAAATTTTATTGTATATTAAATAGGGATAGTTAACATTATTGGGCCATAATTAATGTGTGTAGTGAAAAGTCTTTATGGAGACTTTATGGAGAAGAAAAGGAAGGCAATATTTTTAGAGGCAGTAATCAATGCCTGGGCTTTCCAGGTCGCTCAGTACTAAGAATCTGCCTGCAAGTTCAGGAGACACAGGTTTGATACCTAGGTCAGAAGATCCCCTGGAGAAGAAAATGGCAGCCTACTCCAGTATTCTTGCCTGGGAAAACCCATGGACAGAGGAGCCTGGTGGGCTACAGTCCATGAGGTCACAAAAAGTCCAACAAAGAGTCAGATTTAGTGATTAAAACAACAACAACAACAACAATCGATGCCTGGTGTACGGTAGGCACTCCTTAGATGGTTGTGAAACAAGTGGATGTATAAATAGGATTAACTACATTCCTAGTGAAATGTAATCCTACCTTCATTAAAAAATTCTATTAGATCCTTATATAAAAATTTATGATTGAACACAGCTGTTCATATGTAGTCTTTCAGAGACTTCATTAATTCAGTCTTTTTCTTTTTATCTGTTAGATGGCAATGAAAGAAGTATGGTTAAAATATTGATACTATATTTATTCTTTTTTTAAATAGTGGAAGAAATCCATCTTTGACAAATTCCCATAGAATCTACTGATCTGAGATTAACTCTAGCTATGTCTAAAAGAGCTGAATAGAAGCCCAAGAATATTAAATATTTCTGCATTTCCAGTTCTTCCATATTGATGAAGCATTAATACTTCAATACTTCAATACATGCTGCTAATAATTCACTATAGCTAACTCTTTTAAAAAAACCCCTTTTAACCTATATTATTACTTAACTAAAAAAAATTTGCTATTTTAACAGCTAACAGTTCTAAAATTCTTCATATATTATGAATTATGAGTGTTGAGTTGTCTTTGAGGATCCAAGATTTTTTTTCCTGTGTTCACTGTCTTAACAGAAAGCCAAAGACAGTATATTTCATTAATGAAGTGGGTCCCCTTCCCTTAAGACCTAATAGAGGAAAAAGGACATCAAATAAGCTTTTGGGTCTGAGAAGTCCAATTCTAAGTTATAGTGAAAACAAAACAGAGGTAAAGGACTTGGATGAATTTAGATACTAGTCTTTGTATGTCTCCATTTGCTCTGATTAGTAAGCCACAGTGCAAGTAACTAAATAGTTAAGGTTTCTTTTTTTAGACCAGTGGTTGTGCCTATTAATTCTGATGTGCCTTAAATATAATGGAGATAAAACATATAGCTTTCTTTTAAAATAGATTCACTAGTTTATTTTTTGTTTCAAGGAATAATTTAGCATATCTGTGTCTATCTTAACCTCATATACTATTCCTGAGATTTAAAAAACCACTTTGTAAAAGACATTATGCTCAAAACTGCAGTAATATTATATTGTCACTATTAAATTTGTCAAGTGCTCAATACCACATTTGAAGCTCGGTTAATACAAAAGCTCATTTTATACCTAATCTTTCTTCTCTGAGGGACTCTCTGTCAAAAAGTTCATAGGGGAAGAAATAGGAGGAATTTCATCTCTATGGTGGGTTTTTAAGCAAGGGGACCTGAGTGACTATTATTGCTTACAGGCAACTCAAGTTGTTTCACATTGGCAACATCCTGTCAAAACTAGGCACAAGGAAAGTTAAAGAAACATATTTTTGTCATTATCAGTTGCTTTCAAAGAGGGCTATATGAGAAAAAATATTGTGTTCTTTAAGTATAAATGTGCATCTGTTTTTTTGTCTGTTCCTAGGTTTAAGGAAGAAATGACCAGCAAGTGGTTACAGCTCTTTGAAGGAAGTGGAGTCCCGTATGGCCCAATTAACAACATGAAGAATCTGTTTGCAGAGCCCCAGGTTTGTTTTTTAAATTTTTAGTATGTTTTGGTTAAAAACACAAGAATTTATGTCTTTTTTTCTATCAAGACTGATTCATATAAATGTACATTAGCCATTGATCTTGAAAAGTCATATCACATTATTTTTTACTGTGTTCATTGGAAGGACTGATGCTGAGGCTGAAACTCCAATACTTTGGCCACCTCATTCGAGGAGTTGACTCATTGGAAAAGACCCTGATGCTGGGCGGGATTGGGGGCAGGAGGAGAAGGGGATGACAGAAGATGAGATGGCTGGATGGCATCACCAACTTGATGGCCATGAGTTTGAGTAAAGTCCGGGAATTGGTGATGGACAGGGAGGCCTGGCATGCTGCGATTCATGAGGTCACAAAGAGTCGGACACGACTGAGTGACTGAACTAGGTTAAATTATGCATCTGAAATAAAAAAATAATCAGAATTTGGAACTGGCTGTCTACAATTATACCTTTATATCAGTTAGATCTAACATATTTCTCCAGCAGTCACTGCATGACATTTTCAAGGCCAGGGCATTTGTTTTTTCCTAAAAAATGGAATAAAAACAATTGAGAGTTGGGATCAGGCACTCAGAGATCATTCTCTGCATTAAGAGGTAGGAGTAAGAAATGTGTACTTTTCACAGTTACAGTCCCCCCCTCACCATATGGCTATTTTTAAAAAAAAATTTCTTTTCATATGGTTATTTTAAAATGGACAGAGAAGTCATCACTAATTTTTCTGATTAGAGACATCTATATGCTTTGAATAATGTGCAATATTCATGAAGAATAAATTAATTGAATAGAGATTCATACTGTACATTGTTTACAGACTCCTTGAGTTTCAGAAATTGGGATCATCTGAAAAAATATTTCTTCTATAACACGGTTCAAATGATTAGATTGAGATAAGGTCCGAATAATAAGTTTTGATGTTATTTAATCAGCCTCACTATAAGCAATTTACCATTGCTCAAATTCAAATATTAATCCCATAATGTAGAGGAGCTCCTTTTTTCTGTGAAACTTTCACTGTGATTATTCATGTATCTTGTCAGCTTCCAACATTTCAAAATGATAGTCTTTCTCTTCATTTTTTTCATTTTTATAATGGTAGATTTTTCTTTGAAATAAATTGCTGAAAATGGAATACACTTTTTAAGGGAGAAAACTGACCTAACTAACTTTGGTACCTTTATCTTACATAAATATCTGTTTAAAGGAAAATTGAAATGTATTCAAATCAATGATTTCAGTATTTAGTGGAGGAAAAAAAACAAAGGTGATTAATGCAGGAATTCTGCTCTGTGCTGTTTTTTTGGCCAGATGATGATTATGGAAAGGCTTTGTTCCTAGTGAAAGAATGGTCAATAAGAATTGGAAGAAAGGGGGTCCTCTTGATATGGACTGAGTCTTTGTGAAGGGGTCCCCACTACACTACATCGCTGGTGAATGCTGGTGATTCCTTGTGATGAAGTAACAGTGTGTATACCCTGAATGTAAGAGACCAGAGGGCCAATTATCTCACTTCATAAGTTTGAATGAGGCCAAGCTTTGGCTTTAAGCTGTTTTAGGGGAATGGGTGGGTTTTACCATTATTCCCCTGCTTACAAGTAGAACTGAGGTGTGTAGGACTTCCTGTTTAACTCAATTTGAGGGCACATTTCTCTAGAGATAATCCCTGAGAGTTCTTCCACCAGCATTTCTGTTGGTTCCACCTGTGTTTCATTAGGAATAAAGGCACCAAAGCAGGCATGTTATTTTAAAAATTATTAGATATATTCAAGGGTTACTTATTTTTTAGGCTTTGATAAACAAGGATCTAAGATCCCACACTTAAAATTGTTCACTTTGTGGGCTGGCTCAAATTGATTATTGGGTAAATAGAATTTTCATTCTCAATTTTCCATTGTAGATCAGTTTGATTACTTTCAATTTTGGATCAGAACTCCTTTGGACCTACAGGAAGTTTCTAGTATTGGTCTGTGGCTTATTTTTAGTACTGAAACAAAATTTCAATAGAAAATATAATATATCCTAAGCCAGGATACCAATTTTTTCTGCTCCCTCAAAAGTCTCTGAAAAATACCTTCTTATCCACCAAAATCAAATTCTAATTGTTACAGCTCTAGCATGAAAAATTCTTCATCATTCAGTTATGGTTATTGATGGTTGTACTCTAGTTGCAAGAATAGAGTTGGTTTCTCTTATACATGATTTCATTCTTCTTTGGAATTTAAATACCAAAATCTATGTATAAAAGTATCTGGATTTTTAGAAAGACTAGAGAACAGTGTAGTATTAATGCATTTTAAATATGAGTAAAGATTACTATGACAATTGTATGTAGGACTGTTTGGCACAAGAAATAAGTGTATCATCTTTTCCCATGCCTGGAAGTGTTTGGCTATTTTAGAAGGATTCTCTATCATTGGGTATTTTGATAGGACTGTAGAAGATGAAAAAAACAGGGAGTTAAAAATTTTTGTATATCCAGTTTTTTAAGAAATCTCCATACTGTTCTCCATAGTGGCTGTACTAGTTTGCATTCCCACCAACAGTGTAAGAGGGTTCCCTTTTCTCCACACCCTCTCCGGCATTTATTGTTTGTAGACTTTTGGATAGCAGCCATTCTGACTGGTGTGAGATGGTACCTCATTTTGGTTTTGATTTGCATTTCTCTGATAGTGAGTGACTGATGGTTGGAATGCAAACTAGTACAGCCACTATGGAGAACAGTGTGGAGATTCCTTAAAAAACTGGAAATATAACTGCCATATGACCCAGCAATCTCACTGCTGAGCATACACACCAAGGAAACTGGAGTTGAAAGAGACATGTGTATCCCAATGTTCATTGCAGCACTGTTTACAATAGCCAAGACATGGAAGCAACTTAGATGTCCATCAGCAGACCAATGGATGAGGAAGCTATGGGACATATACACAATGGAATATTACTCAGCTATTGAAAAGAATGCATTTGAATCAGTTCTAATGAGGTGGATGAAACTGGAGCCTATTATACAGAGTGAAGTAAGTCAGAAAGAAAAACACCAATACAGTATATTAATGCATATATATGGAATTTAGAAAGATGGTAACAATGACGCAATATGGGAGACAGCAAAAGAGACACAGATATAAAGAATAGATTTTTGGACTCTGTGGGAGAAGGCGAGGATGGGATGATTTGAGAGAATAGCATTGAAACATGTATATTCAGTTCAGTTCAGTTCAGTCGCTCAGTATATATATTACCATATGTGAAATAGATTGCCAGTCCAGGTTCATTGTATGAAACAGGGTGCTCAGGGCTGGTGCACTGGGATGATCCTGAGGGATGGGATGGGGAGGGAGGTGGAAGGGCGGTTCAGGATGGGGAACACATGAACACCCATGGCTGATTCATGTCAATGTATGGCAAAAACCACTACAATATTGTAAAGTAATTAGCCTCCAATTAAAATAAATAAATTAATTTAGAAAATTTTGTATGAAATAAATTATTAAAGAAAACATACCTTAAGATAATATCTAAAAGGGAACTACTCTGAAAGTTCATTTAACACACCTTTTATTGTATTCAACATTTATTACGTACCAGATGCTAGGGATTTAGCATTAATTTAGTAATTCTTTTACTTTCTGAAAAATAAATTATAAGTTGACTTAAGTAGCAAGTACCCAGTAAAATTTCACTGATGCATGAATCAGGGGATGAGTGAGTTGGTTAACTCTGTAAAGTATAGGTTTCCAAATAATCAAGTGGCTACTATCCCCCCTGTGTGGGACTGACTAACTCTTATATGTGGAGCTGGCTGAGAAGCCTTTGGGAAACTCCAGGGACTAAGCATAATACAATAGCTAAGACCATGGAATCAGAAGTGTTGGGAAGTTTTATAAGATTTCTAGGCTTCAGTTTCTTCAACACTAAAGTAATGAAATAGAACCTTTTCTCTATACTGTAAAGTTAAATGGGATAATGTTTATCAAAGGCACATAGTAGGGATTGTTAAATGTAAATTTTCAGTAAAAATAATAGCTCTGGTTATGGTGCCCTTCACAGTTATACTTTACTAAAAGATATCTTTTACTTATCATCATGTAGTGGATAAAGGCAAATCCAGTGTAGCTGTGAGGATGGGGATCATCAGCTTGACATCAAGCTCTAACTAATATCCTTTTAAGGAAATGCATCCGCAAACTTCATGCCAAAAAGTGCTCAGCCCGTCATTTTTCTGATTACTGAAAATCTTTTTGTTTTCCATTTTCTATAAAAGCATGATTTCCGTTCAAGGTGTCCTCCCTTGTTTTTCCCCTGATGAGCTGTGGAGTTTCTTGGCCCCCGGTACATGGAACTGGCCACTTCTGTTCGGATGTGGGACTGCACCACTGGCGCCCGGGGCCCAGCTCTCCATGTGCGCCTGGCCAGCACAGCTGCTAGTTCAAGTGAAAATTGATTTGGGTGAAGTACAAGGCCTGGAACATGGCGCAGGAAGTGAAACTTTGATGAAGTGAAAAGGGGTATATCTAACAACAACAACAAAAAAATTAGAAGAATCAAAGAGCAGGAGAGAATTTTCTGTGAACCTACTTAGCAAGTGGACCATTTATATTTCATCTCTGGTTTGAACATGGTAGACAAGTTTACTTGATGGTTGAAACTATTCCTAACCAAAATAATGTCTTCATAGTCTCATGATCTGAGAAAACTTGCCTTTTGACTCAATTGAAACTACAAATGATTTTTTTCTTGGATAGATGCAAGGTTGTCTACCTTTTATCCTCTGATTATATGCTTTAGCCCTTTGCACAGTTAAAATGATCCTGCAGGCATCCACTGTTAAGTCAATCAAGAATACTACAGGGGGTTTTGGTCTGCATTTACTGATAGCTCTGAGAAGTTTTGATCCAAAACCCTTTTAGTGGGAGTTTTATTGTTTTTTTCTCCCTCAGAGATACATTATCTGTGGAAAACTCTGTGCATTATAGAAG